TAACTAGAAATAATCCCCAAAAAAGATACCAGACCTTTACAGAGAAGACTACAAAACATTATTGAAAAAAAGTTACACCTAAATAAGTGGAGGGTACAAATGTCGATGAATTAAAGGACATGATTATATAGATGTTAATTTTCAAATTTATTATAGTCAATAAAATCCTAATCAAAATACTTTTGTTACTATCCTATTGTTGAAATTGACAAGTTGATTGATTCTAAAATGTATATTAAAAAAGCAAAGTGCCAAGAATAACCAATACAATCTTGAACCAACGACAAAAAACTGGAGGACTCACACTACCATATACTGAATTATTTCAAACCTACAGTACGACGACGACACTAAGACAAATAGGCCAATAGAACAATAAATGGTGCTGGATCAACTGAAAACCTAGAGAGAAAACTATTATTTTTAACAACTCCCTATTATCATGAGCAAAACTGTAGATGATTCTAGATCAAGATATGAGATCAAGCAATACTTAAAAAAAAAAAATTAATGATCTTAGGGTAGGCAAGTATTTCTTAAATAGGACATATAAAGCACTTACCTTAAAGGAAAATATGGATAAACTGGACTATTTCAAAATTAAGTAGTTCATCAAAAGACATTATGAAAATGAAAGAGCGGGGCAAAGAATGGGAGATTATTGCAATAATTCCAAAGATATACTTTGTAAATTATAAATACTTCCTAAAAACCATTAAGAAAATGACAAACCAACAGAAAAACAGGCAAAATTGGGTATTTAACAAAATCTCCATATACCCAATAAACCTATTAAAAAGTGGTTTCATTAATCACCAGGAAAATGCAAAAACCAGACTACTACTATACAAACCCACCAGAATGCTACAGCTAAAGAGTGACCATATCAAAGGCCAGTGAGGAAGCGGAAGAAACGGGATTCTCATACACTAGGTAGGACTGTAAAACAGTAGCACTTCGGAAGTCTTCTAGATGCTGGTCCTATTCTATTTTTTGATGTGAGTGGTAGGTAAATGTTACATTCACTTTGTTAAAATTCGTTAATTGTACACTTTTAATGTATTTTTTATACCTTAAAAAAATCCCAACAATGCATGTTTCTCTACATTCTCTCAATATAACCTAATTTTGCCAAGGTGAAACTAGCATCTCATTTTAGCTTATACCTCTTTAATGCAAATGAAGTTGTTTTATTTTTAAAGGTTTGTCCCTGTAATTCTCTTGAAAGCAAATTCTGAGTGTTCAGTAGGTATTATGGCCTGTTTAGCATAGCCACAAATGTGCAAATTAATGGGAAAGAAGTCTAAGGTGCTAAAATAAGCCCTATTCGCTACAGCACCAGAATTTTAAGTGGCGAAGATCTTTGTAGAAGACCCAAAACCAAACGAAATGGGATGGAAACAGGAGTGACGAGTGCGTGCCAGGTTAGGTCTAACTGGAAAATGACAGAAGCCCTGACATAATCCATACTGTTCAGATTGTACAAGTACACATTTGCCACTTCAAGTGAGATACAAATGTCTCAAATGAAGGAACTTTGCCCTGACAGGTTTGGCTCAGTGGATGGAGCATCGGCCTGCGGACTAAGGGTCCCAGGTTCGGTTCCGGTCAATGGCATGTGCCTTGGTTATGGGCACATCCCCAGTGAGGGGGTGCAGGAGGCAGCTGAATGATGTTTCTCTCATCAATGTTTCTCTCTCCCCCCCCTCCCTTCCTCTCTGTAAAAAATCAATATATATAAAATGCAAGCAACTTTAAGAAAAACAATCTGCAGCCCTCCTTAAACATAGCAAGTCTTACCTACAACCCCATTGTGAGCTGATGATGCAAGAGTACCAACCTAAGATCTTCCCCAGAGCAGTAACTATGACTGTAAAAAGCTAGAAAATAATGTATTTTAGAAATATTTCCACCAAAAGTGGCTAAAAATGAGGTTAACCTGAAGGTATTAAGACTTTGGTTCTCTATTAAACTGTCACAGCACTGAGGCAACTTGACAATCTATAATCACTGATTATTCACTTGTCCAAGCTAACCTATTATTTTTTTAAATATTTTATTTTTTACAGGGAGGAAGGGAGAGATAAAGAGCTCGAAACATCAATGAGAGAAAAACACCGACCAGCCGCCTCCCGCACACCCCCCACCAAGGATGTGCCAGCAACCAATGTGCATGCCCCTGACTGGAATCGAACCCAGGTCCCCCCAGTCCGCAGACCACTGAGCCAAACCGGTTTCGGCAAGCTAACCTATTTTAAATTAGAACTGCTCCAAACTGTAAAAAATACTAATCTTAAACTTATAAAGCTACAGATAAAAAACAAGTTGCCAAAAAATTCATCCTAGGTAGTAAAACTTCCTCTCTTCCTTTTTTAGATAGTAACCACCTCAGAGCCCTTTATAGTTTACATTCTATTTTAATTCTAATGATTAAAAGATGACAGCTTTTGAAGGAGTATCTCAATTGTAAACCTTTTCAAGGGATATCTCAATTGTAAAACATATGCTTACCTCAGAAATGTTAAAATACACATATCTTAAGTGATCACTAGGATAGAGAAAATCGTTTCAATAAACACTTAGTTTTAATACAGAAAAAGGTAGAATGGCTTAAGGATTAAGAGCATGGGCTCTTTAGTCTTAAGAACCTACCTGTGAATCCTGCTTGGTTACTACCAGCTCTGTGGGTTTGGGAAAGTTCAACTTTTCCCTATTTCAGTTTTCCTACTTGCAAAATGCAAGTGGCAGCTCACCTAAGTATTACCACCTATGTGCTACATTGCAAATACATCTTAATGTAGCACAGTGCCCACTCTATAGTTAATAATCAATATAAGCCTAGTAACTCTTAGATATAAAACAAGATAGGGTTGAATTTGTTGCATTCAGAATCACCACCTTTAAAAGATCACAATTCCTTTAATCGTCAATCTCAGAATTTTACCAGGAATCCCTGTGAACTTTAACTTGTAACAATCTTCAAAACAAAGATCTTTATGCCAGTTTCTCAGCATGTTCTCCCTTCTCTATTGTCCTAGGATCAACAGCATATTAGTGGACTTATAAACTCTTACACGGCATTTTTCAGGGGCAGGCGCAAAGTTAGAAGTTACTCCACAACTTTTCCCCTTAGAATGACCTAAGATCATTCTCATCTTTCTAAAAGCCAAATATAACATTGGAGGTTTGCTTTTCTGGCCAGCCATCCCAGAACCCAAGCATAGGTACCAATACCCAATTACGGGCACTAATATTTTAGAAAATGTGTGTCTAAAATTTTTCTCCAAATCAACCCTGGTTGGTATGGCTCATTTGGTTGGAGCATCGCCTGTACAACAAAAGAAGGTGGTGGGTTCAATTCCCTGTCATAGCCAGGTTGCAGGTTCGATCCACCTGCTGGGTGCATTTAATAATGTGCGGGAAGCAGCCAATCGATAGATCTTTCTCTCTAAAACCAATCCATACCAAAGCATCGGCCTGCAGACCGAAGGGTCTCAGGTTTCATTCTGGTCAAGGATTGCAGCTCAATCCCCAGGAGAGGGGGTGCAGGAGACAGCCGATCAATGACTCATCACTGTTTCTCTCTCTCCCTTCCACTCTGAAATCAATTTAAAAATTTTAAGTCAATAAATAAAAATTTTACAAATCAAAACACTTAAGATTATTTAAAACTCAAATTAACTGCCTTCAAGTTACAATGGCAACTTGAGTTTCTCTAGAAATCAACTGATCTAAAACCAGAGCTGAAAAGCTCCCTTTCCTAACCAGTTGCAGGACAGTGTCCCCTTTCTGCAATCTTCGCATCTGTGACAGAGGTCTTTCTAAAGACCTGTACCAACTCACTCTCTTACCTACCTCAATGTTTTTCTTGGGTGGCAGGTTTTCTCTCAATACCAAGACTGCCACATCCTTAAAGACAGGATAGGTAATGAATTAATTTGGACTACTTAAATGTTCTTCACAGCCAGGTTACAGATCATCTTTTTCCAAAAATATACATTTTTTAGAAACAGATATGTGATTTATGAAAGAAAAAGAGAACTTTTCACATTCAGGAAAGTAACATCATTGTGCTTAGGCTAGAGATTTTATTTTAAAAAGATAAAAGATGGAGGCGCAATAATATTTGGCATTTTTAATTTAGGTTTGTTTTATTTAAGTTTAATGTTAATTCCATGCTGTGTTTCAGTAAGAACAATACAGATTCTGTATCTGTGGCTCCAGTCAGATATCCAGTAGTACAAATTAGCTTCAAGTTACACATACTGAACAAAAGAGGTTGAGCGAGCGAAGGAGGGGGAGGCCAGGGAGAGGGAAGGAGAAGAAACAAAGAATTGAACACGCATGCAGGCTTTTCCATACCACCTTCAACGCTAACCTGCTTTAGAGGGAGAGTAAAAGTAGGCAAGAATGAGCAGCCACGGATTGTTGAACTGTTTACCAGCACCATGCTTTTCAGCAGAGTTTGAATACTTTTTACAGCAAAACCATTAAAACAAACTCCCCAAACAACCTTTAACCACCTCAAGCTAACACCCAATTAATCTTAAACATTGGTATAAAATTCAATCTAAACAATTAGAAAAAGGAAAAATGATACCACATATGCCACTATAGTGTGATCAACCTCTCTCTTAGATGCTTCACCTAGAAGTCTAATGGCTTTCAAATGTAATTTCCATTTCTAATGGTGACCTTGCCACATCCGGCAGGAGACAATACAGTAATGCTGAAAAAGCCTCTATACAGTCCTGTTAGTGTCTTAAAGAACCTAAAAGCTGGGACCAGTAAAATCCACAGAAATTCACTCTTGCCTTTAAGAACTTTTGAAAACTGTTTTTTAAAAAAAAAAAACCAACAGGGCAGGAACCTAAATTCTGAGACCAAATGTAAAAGTCAGATTTGGTGGTCCTCAGTGACAATGGGGGAAGTTCCAAGAGGGGGTGGGATGGGGAGGAGTGGGGTGGTCAGAGATGGTTTCTCTTGTTGGCTTTTATGTCTCACTGATTTTCATCTTCCACATCCTGCAGCGCTTCTTTATTCTGCTCTTCACCTGCAAAGAAGAATAACAGTTACTTATTTCATACTGACTAAATTAGGCAGTAATGGTCACAAACAAAGGTATCATTCCAAACATAAAGGCCCCGTACATTTGCTACAATTGGTATTAAACACACAGACAAGCAAAGAACTTCTGCCATCCTTGATACCAGAGATGCCTAAGCCAAGAGGTGCTGCTGGATCAAAATCTTACATGGTCAATAGTCAGGAACAAAAAATAACCGACACACAGTGAAAATCAATGTTTTCACCCTCAATAAGCTCTTGTAAACAGCCATGGTACCATATTATTAAGATGATTTTCAAGCTTTCATGTACATTGTGTCAAAATACCCTTTTCTCAATAACCTCACTTCATCATGAATCAGGAATATTTTACAATTTTTTGCAAAATCTAAATTATCCACAAACTTCCTATCAGAAATGCTTCAAAAAAGAAAACCGAGCAGTAAAATGCTCCAAAGGCCTACAGTTTTAGAGAGAGGGTTCTGCTTTTGTATATGTTTTCTATTTTGTATCTTGGCCAATCATATACCAAACCATAACCGGATTTCTCATTTCAGAGTGAACTTGCTCTCAAACCAAACCACTGAGGTTATAAAGAAGGGTGTTTGGACCAGTTCTCTCATGCCATTTTTCTTCCCCCTTGAACATGACCATTAGCCTGAAGAGTTTCAACTGCACTATGACATGCAACAGAATAGAAAGCCAGCCTATTCATCTACCTATTAATGAGCATTAAACAAGTCAGCCATAATAAAGAAGCATGCACACTTTAGCTAAAAAAAAACATTATTTTGTGCTTTAATAAATCATTTATAATTCTTACATATTACTAATTTCAATCAAAGTAATTAAAAAATCAATGAATTGATCTAACAATCATAATATGACAGTTCAGACCATCCATTCATACTGCTTGTTAAATTAATTAGGATGGACAATGACACTAACTCTGATTGTCTACAGACATAAACCATTTACCCTTAGGAATTTTTAAAAACAATCTTTAAAGATAAACAAGCAATAAGGGTTAATTAAAGATTAGTTTGTCATTTAAATTTTCCTTTGTGATAAAAATCTTTAACATAGATACGTGACTCTAAAAAGTACTTGAGGTACATAGATTTCTTACTTATATACAGAAAAAGACATGCAAACGAAAAGACAAAAATATCCATTTACTGAGGAAAGAAATGATGGACCACCCAGATATTCTTCCCCCAAGAAAAATATGTATTCAAACTTAGGAAATGATAGGAACATTCACTCACATTTTAAACAGCAATCTACTGCACCAAAATATGGTTAACATACAACAATAGAGCATATTCTAATTCACTCATAAGCAAACATTAGATTTGCCAAAAGTTCCAAGTAACTTTGGCACAAAAATACTGTCACATAAATCACACCCAACCAAAGGTGATAGATAGGGAATAGCAGATCATAAATATCTTAGAAGGTTTTGCATCCTGGAATGTAAAACAGGCAGTTTTGTAAGCAACAGGATGATGATGATATGCAAGCATGATTAGTGAAGAACCAAAACTTAAAAGCAGAATTCACTGTGCCATGATTATGACTTACAAAGTAGTTTTTAGGAAAGGAAGAGTTGGATTTTCCTTTAGGAATCTATATTGCAAGGAGAAAGGGAGGGAGAACATCACATGAAAGCAACATTACAAGAAAAATAAACCGAGAGCAGGACAAAGAAAAAACATCAATGATTTTTAGGAAGAGTCAGATTTTGGTCTTTTTACTTTATATAAACTATAAACTTCAGTCTAAGAAATACTGTTCCTTTTCTTTTACCTTTAAAAAGGATGGAATAATATCCTTTTAAAAGGTATATAGAAAAGTTTTCCTTGGATGTATTTCTTTGCCCACTGTTTCTAGATTTTAGAGGAAGAGAAAACACACATTTCCTTTCTGTGGGTTTGCATATGAACCAGTCCTTAAGAAAAAAAGGACTGAAATGGCCTCATGAGAAAAAGTTGTGATCCCTTTAAAGAATTATGTCCCAACACACTCAGACAGACATAGCATATTCTGCAATCATAAAACATAAATGTGCATAAAAATAAAAGCTTGTGAACCACATATTTTTCCTTTAGAAACCCTCAATTCAAATGTTTGGCACAATTTTTTCTAGTTCGTAAAATAAAAAGAAAACCACCTATATAATCTTTAAACTAAATTCAAGTAACATCCTGGAAAACTACCAATTCTATGACCACAATTCTTCTATCTTCAGCATTGATTCTAAGTCATAAAACAAATTTAATAAATCATATGTAATGCTATACCTTTTACCAAAACTAGCAAATAATTTCTTAGTACCCACAATTTATAACTTCACATAGTTTGTTAATTTTAATAGAAGGTCAAGATACTACTTGAATTTTCCAGTATTTAACTAGCATGTTTCATAATTCGAATATGAATTAGTTTATAATAAAGCTAAAATTGATTTCGAACAATTTAATGAACCATTCAACTCAAAGTAAAGAGAATTTAAAGCAACCAGATTAAAAAAAACAACAAACAGCTGGCACCGGTTTGGCTCAGTGGTAGAGCGTCGGTCTGCGGACTGAAAGGTCCCGGGTTGGATTCCGGTCAAGGGCATGTACCTGGGTTGCGGGCACATCCCCAGTAGGGGGTGTGCAAGAGGCAGCTGGTCGATGATTCTCTCTCGTCGACATTTCTAGCTCTCTATCCCTCTCTCTTCCTCTCTGTGAAAAATCAATAAAAATATATTTTAAAAAAACAACAAAAAAAACAACAACAAACAAATAACTTGATTAATTTTATGCCACCCTAGTTTGGCTCAGTGGATGAGCACCAGGGCCTGTGGACTAAGGGCACATGCCCATGTTGTGGGCTTGGTCCCCAGTAGGGGGCCTGCAGGAGGAATAATTCTCTATCACTGATATTTCAATAATTGATCAATAATTCTCTATCACTGATATTTCTCTCCCTCTCGAAAATCAATAAAAATACATTTTTAAAAGATTAATCTTATGCTAAAAACCTTCCCAACTATGAAAATAGTTTAAAGAAAATATCCTGCCAAAACCGGTTTGGATCAGTGGATAGAGCGTCGGTCTGTGGACTGAAAGGTCCCGGTTCGATTCCGGTCAAGGGCATGTACCTTGGTTTGCAGGCACATCCCCAGTAGGGAGTGTGCAAGAGGCAGCTGATCAATGTTTTTCTCTCTCATCAATGTTTCTTACTCTCTATCCCTCTCTCTTCCTCTCTGTAAAAAATCAATAAAATATATTTAAAATATATATATCCTATTAGATTAACCTTATGCTAATAAAAACCTTCCCAACTATGAAAACATAAGTAGTTTAAATATCTTATTGTAGTCCGGCTGGTGTGGATCAGAGGTTGAGCATCGACCTAGGAAACAAGAGTCACACATGCCCAGGTTGGGGGCTCGATCTCCAGTAGGGGACGTGCAGGAAGCAGCCAATTAGTGATGTTCATCTCTCATTGATGTTTCTCTCTCTCTCTATCCTCTTTCTCCCTCGCGTGCACACGTATGTGTGTGGGAGAGTGAGTGTGTGTGTGTCTTCTATTTTTAAAATTATTCATTTAGTAAAATGACACCCGATAACAAAGCAGAGTATCTTTGATTCTGTATAAAAATGGAGTGACACGCTGAAACCAGTTTGGCTCAGTGGATAGAGCGATGGTCTGTGGACTGAAAGGTCCCAGATTCGATTCCGGTCAAGGGGATTGTACCTTGGTTGTGGGCACATCCCCAGTGGGGAGTGTGCAGGAGGCAGCTGATCAATGATTCTCTCTCATCGATGTTTCTAACTCTCTATCCCTCTCTTCCCCTCTGTAAAAAAAAAAAAAAAAAAAAAAATATTTTTTTTAATGGAGTAACATATAGTCTACTATCAATTAATTCTTGGTTATCAGTGATAATAAACCAGAGTAGCACTAGAAAACATAAGCTTTATTTCTATCTATCATTGTAATTTAATAACTTATGAGTTGGCATCGAATGTCAACCCAGGTCATCTTTGTTATTTTTAGCCTCAAATAAATGTTCCCAGATCAGAGGTGTATAGTTTACTGATTAAGCCAGTATGGCTTAACCAAGTTGTTAGTTCAAAGATGATAAATTGGTTTGGTCTTGAATCCCAGATTCATGGTAGTGGTTACCTGAAGTGCTGTATTGAAAAGTAACCGATGGCTACATCTGGCTTTGCTGGAAAAGTACAGAATATTGATCCAAGAGGCTACAGCTAGTCTCCATGAAACATATGCTTCATTTGGGGAACATACCCTTAAAGGACCTGCAGTTAAAAATGACAGCAAACCGCCGACACCGGTTTGGCTCAGTGGATAGAGCGTTGGCCTGCGGACTGAAAGGTCTCGGGTTCGATTCCAGTCAAGGGCATGTACCTTGGTTGCGGGCACATCCTCAGTAGGGAGTGTGCAAGAGGCAGCTGATCAATGATTCTCTCTCATCGATGTTTCTAACTCTCTATCCCTCTCTCTTCCTCTCTGTGAAAAATCAATAAAATATATATATTTTTAAAAATGACAGCAAACCTTTTGTTTCCACTCTGCATCACAGTAACAACTGTAAAACTATCTATGGTCAATCACACTAATTTGTCCTCCCCTATTTTGTGCATGAAAATGATTCTTTGGAAATAAGCAGAATAAAATCTCCTTTAAAATAAAAAATAAAAAAGTGAAATCTGGGCTTTTACTACATTTAGAATAAACAGTAAATCCTCTACCTCCCCATAAGATTAAGTTCTATAAATTACTCTAGTAATTATTTACTACTTAAAATTCTAAAAGAAAATAAAAACACCAGACCTCTTATTAAATAGGACCTGAGAGCAGGACATTCCATTTGCTGTACAGAATCCAGACTGGAAAAATTCTTTTTTGGATAAAAGATTTCCAGAAGATGTTGCATAAATAAATATCTCCTGCCACCATCTAGTTCAATCTGAGGACACAACTCAAAGCAGTGATATGACACTCAAAACTACAATGAACTCCAGACTCCTAAAACTGAATCTGAGTAAGATAAAATATTCCTCTCCATCTTTCAAAGCGCAGTGTGAGGGAAGAGGTAAACTAAGCTTAGCAAACTTTACTTAGAGGTAAAATTTTTAAATCTTCAAATATTAATAAAATATTCCCCTTTATCACCTTATAGCCCAGAATGGAAGAATGTACTCTGACATCTTTTTATGAAAATGTAGTAATTAAACTTGGATAGTTTAGAGAAAATTGTAACTTGATGTAAAATACCAAGGAGCCCTAGCCAGTTTGGTTTAGTGGAGAGAGTGTCAGCCTGCAGAGTGAAGGGTCCCAGGTTCGATTCTGGCCAAGGGCACGTGCCCAGATTGAGGGCTTGGTCTCCAGTAGACGGCATGTAGGAGGCAACTAATAAATGATTCTCATAACTGAAGTTTCTCTCTATACCTCTTCCTTCCCCTCTGAAATCAATAAAAATGTATTTTTATTAAAAAAAAAAAAGGGGGGAATTTTTAAGAGTAAAAAGATCCAACTACAGAGGGAGACATTTAACTTCAGCTTCCTTACCATCACCCTGCATGTCTGAAGTCCATAGTGTCAGATTATCACGTAACAACTGCATGATAAGTGTAGAGTCCTTATAGCTTTCTTCACTCAGCGTATCCAGTTCTGCAATTGCATCATCAAAAGCTGCTTTTGCCAACCTACAAGTATATACATAAATGTATTACAAAAATAAAGTTCAAAAACAGAATTAGAAATGTTAGATGTCATTCTTTTCTTCAATTATTCCACAATATGTAATAGTGACACTGAGTACTTGGGTTTAGGCATTAAAATAAAGAAAAAGCACATTAACTGGTGAAAATTAACTTTCTACTTAACACATTGCGGGCAGATCATAAGCATTCTCGTGTTTTCCTATTACACAGTGTTTTACATAAATGTTAAAGGAATGCCTTAAAATTAAACATCCATTGTATTCTGAAGTTATTAAATGTTCTTACAAGCTAATTTTTTTAAAGTATGATACTTTGAAAAAGGTTTTTTATACTCGTTCAATAGAAACTTATCTGGCCACTGCGTAAAGCTAGCAATAAAACTACTGGTGTACAGCCAAAACCAGTTTGGCTCAGTGGATAGAGCGTTGGCCTGCGGACTGAAAGGTCCCAGGTTTGATTCCGGTCAAGGGCATGTACCTTGGTTGCGGGCACCTCCCCAGTGGGGGGTGTGCAGGAGGCAGCTGATCGATGATTCTCTCTCATGGATGTTTCTAACTCTCTATCCCTTTCTTCCTCTCTGTAAAATAAATCAAAATATATTTTTAAAAATAAAAATATACCTGCCGAAACCAGTTTTGCTCAGTGGATAGAGCGTTGGCCTGTGGACTGAAAGGTCCCAGGTTTGATTCCAGTCAAGGGCATGTACCTTCGTTACGGGCACATCCCCAGTAGGGGGTGTACAGGAGGCAGCTGATCAATGTTTCTAACTCTCTATCTCTTTCCCTTCCTCTCTGTTAAAAAAAAATATATATATCAAAATATATATATTGAAAACTAATATATAAAAATATATTATAAACCCTGACCGGTATGGCCCAGGGTCTCAGGTTTGATTCTGGTCAAGGGCGTATGTATGTATGTATGTATGTATATATATATATATATTATAAAAGATAACTCCTCTCCTTCCTTTTTCCCACTCTCTTAACAAATTAGAGATTCTTTTTAATCTACCAACAAAAATTTTCCCTGTGAACATAATTTTTCTAACTGCTCTCCTAGTGAAATGAGGTAGGTTTATCTCATTTTCACTGAGCCCATAGAATGATTATTACATGGCCAACCTTACAAAGGCAGTCCACAGGGCACAAGACAGAAAATCAAATAGCTATTGTCCTTTGTAACCTTGCCTTTCATAGTGAGAGTTTTTGTTCTCCATAACTTACCTGCAGGCACGGTCAGGAGAATTAAGAATTTCATAGTAGAATACGGAGAAATTGAGAGCAAGACCTAAGCGAATAGGATGTGTTGGTGGAAGTTCTGTCATTGCAATATCACTAGCAGCTTTGTAAGCCACTAGGCTGTTCTCTGCAGCCTCCTTCCTGTCATTTCCTGTGGCAAATTCAGCCAGATACCTGTGGTAGTCCCCTTTCCTAAAACAAAACAAAACAAAAACCAGAATTAGAAACATGCTTTTCAAATGAAAAATAATTGTTAAAATTTCTATGTGAAAAAATATATTAAACAATTAACTGATATACTTCAATAATTTTTAAATAGTCTCTTTCAGGAGACTCATCTACTTAACTTTCCTCCTTAACTCATCTACTTAACTTTCCTCCTTTGGGATTTCCTGTCAAATATAAGTAAAATCCTAGAAACATTAACTAAAAAACTCACCGACAACAAAAATGTATCACTTGATAGGCTAGATTAAATAACAAAAACTATTCCAAAGAAGGGCACAACAGTTTGTTAATCATGAAATAATATTTTCATATAAAAATGTTAAGACTGAGCCGAAACCGGTTTGACTCAGTGGTAGAGCGTTGGTCTGTGGACTGAAAGGTCCCAGGTTCGATTCCGGTCAAGGCATGTACGTTGGTTGCGGCACATCCCCAGTGGGGGGTGTGCAGGAGGCAGCTGGTCGATGTTTCTCATCGACGTTTCTAGCTCTCTGTCTCTCCCTTCCTCTCTGTAAAAAATCAATAAAATATATTTTTTTTAAAAATCAATAAAATATATGTACTATTAATACATGCTTTGCTGTCACTAGTGGGAAAACCTCACTCAGGCAAACAAATGTAAGTAAATAAAGCAAAACCTAGTGCATTTTTACAGTAATAGCCTGACCATCTTTAAGTGCTATAATGTAAATATTTCATTAGCAGTGAATTTGCAATGAGATTTCAAAAATTTTTGAGAATCACTCCTCCCATTAACTATCCTTTCAACATTAAAGAACTATTCTTATGTAAAAACTGAAACCTTATATAGCAAAAGTGATTATTCAAAGAGGGCCAACATTTAATCTGACATTTTCCCTTCTAGTATAGAACCTACATTTTATAATAGAAAACCTTGGACTCGCCAGTGTTAGCTGCTGGAATGAGGTGTTTGTCCAGTACATCCAGAATGTCACAACAGATTAACTTTAGTTCAGTCTCAACCTGAGGGGGAAAAGTCAAAAAATTGTTTCAATCTAAGAAATTATAAATTGTCACGTACGGTTTTGAAGAGAGACATATTAAACCATAAAGCAAAGTTATCTCTAGGTTACAGAAATTATCTTATTTCTATGTGCTCTTAGTCAAGTGCTTTTTAAAGTTTTTTTTTTTTTACTTTATTGATTTTTTAAGAGGGAGTGGGGGATTGAGCGAGTGAACAACTGAGGGGAAGAGGAAGAGAGGGAAGAAGAGAGATAAACATAAATTAGTTGCCTCCTGCATGTATATGGACCGGAAACGAACCCACAACCTAGAAATATGCCCTGACTGGGAATCAAACCCACCACCTTTTGATGTACAGGGTGACATCCAACCTGAGTCACATAGGCAAGAGCTTTTTAGAAAAATGAACTCATAGTTCAGGTACAGAAGAGTAACACTGATTACTACTAAGTGCTGCACATTTTAATTAAATTTTCTAATGAGGTGCTATAATATACTCAGAACCTCAGTTTTTCCATCTATAAATTGAAATACCTACTCTTTACAGGGGATCATTTAAAGATGGAATAAATTCAGTATCTTACACAATTATATATATCTCCCCACTCAGAACAGTGCCCAGGAGAGCTGGAAAATCTATAAACGTGGTTTCCTCTTTCCTCCTCTTAACTCGCTTCCCATGCTACTTTGTGTTTGCTTCTGTAATTTCACTGTACTCTGTGTTATAGGCCTACATCTCCTAGTAGGATCAATTTCTTTTCTTTCTTTTAATATACCTTTTATTGATGTCATAGGAAGGGAGAGGGAGAGAGAGAAACATCAATAATGAGAATCGTTGATGGCCTGCCTCCCTACTAATTCCCAGGAGGGAAATCACACATCCTGATCCATAGGCCCACACTCAACCAGTGAGCCACACAGTGAGCCATACAGTTTAAAAGTAGAACTGCTGACATCCTGGGCTAGATATGTTGTGTGAGATGGTCCTAAGTACAGTATTTATGATTAGCAGCATTCCCGTCTCTACCCATATATGCCAGTAGCACCCTCAAAATTGTGACAACCAAAAATGTCTCTAGACACTGCTAAATGTCCTCTAAGGCCCTAGCTGGTCTAGCTCAGTGGATGGAGCATTGGCCTGCAGACCGAAGGTTCAATTCTGGTCAAGGGCATGTACCTTGGTTGCGGGCACATCCCCAGTAGGGGGTATGCAGGAGGCAGCTGATCAATGTTTCCACATCTCTATCCCTCTCTCCCTTCCTCTCTGTAAAAAAATCAATAAAATATATTTTTTTTAAAAACTATTTAAAAAATATTTTTTTTAAAAAAAAAATAAAAAATAAATGTTCTCTGAGGAGCAAAATCACCTTCTGGATGAAAATTACTACATTAAAAGCTATCAAGCTTTTTTGACCAAAACCTACAGTAAAAATAATATTACATAGATGTATATACACATATATATGGAACAATAATACCTCATGGAATAATATCTAATGCCCTCTTGATATTTTTCTATTAAAAAAATAACTAGCCAAAACCAGCTCAGTGGATGGAGCGTCAGCCTGCGGACTGAAAGGTCCCAGGTTCAATTCTGGTCAAGGACATGTGCCTTGGTTGCGGGCACATCCCCAGTGGGGGATATGCAGGAGGCAGCTGATCAATGATTCTCTTTCATCGATGTTTCTAACTCTGTCCCTCTCTCTTCCTCTGTAAAAAATCAATAAAATATATTTAAAATAAAAAAATAAAAATAAAATAACTAGAGTGACGATCCACAAGGATAGTCTCATCTTTGCACCCATAGTATCCAGCAAATGGTGTGGTGAGGAAGAGGCACACAAGTATCTGTTAAATACCACTAGGTGGTAATTTCAAGTCACTCTATAAAGTATCTTGCAATTATCACAATTAAAATGATTAAATTAGCCGAAACCGGTTTGGCTCAATGGATAGAGCGTCGGCTTGGGGACTGAAGGGTCCCGGGTTCGATTCCGGTCAAGGGCATGTACCTTGGTTGCGGGCATATCCCCAGTAGGGGGTGTGCAAGAGGCAGCTGATCGATGACTCTCTCTCATCGATGTTTCTAATTCTCTATCTCTCTCCCTCCCTCTCTGTACAAAATCAATAAAATATATTTAAAAAAAAAAAAAAAATAAAATAAAATAAAATGATTAAATTAATTATCTTCTTGTATAGTTCTCAAAATTGAACATCACCCTCTGCAGCTTTCCAAGAAAAGAGTTCTTCACTTTTGCCCTAAAATATTGTATAGCGTATAATTCCTAATCCAGGTAAGCAAAAGATGCAAATCCACTAAAATAAAAATGTACATACCTATGAGTACAACAAATGTACTAGGCTGTGATCTGAAACCCCCAACACAAGTGGCCCTGTTGGCGCATGGCAGCGTGTCAGTCTCATAAAATACCCTACACCTAGGGCACTTTTCTTTAAAGATATCTTGTATACAATAACAATCTCACCATTTGCCGATACTCCCGAATCATTTTTAGTTTGTCTTCTCCTCCCTTGTTTTCTTCTTTCTGTTCAATGCTGCTGATTATTCTCCAGGAAGCTCTTCTAGCTCCAATCACATTTTTATACGCAACAGATAGGAGGTTTCTTTCTTCAACTGTCAACTCCACATCCATCCCTGCTACTTTCTTCATTGATTCCACCATTTCTATAACAGAAAAGTGAAAATGAGACCTTACAAAGTTTTAATACATCCCTTCACAGTACGTCTTTTTTTCTATCAAACTAATGTAAAATAAAACATAAAAATTATCCCAAAAAATTGCAATCATCAAAATGTGAATAAAAAACACTAAAAGCATGTAAAATAAACTAAGAGCCTAGAGTAAGAGAATCTGTTGGATGGAGTCAGAACAATGTTAAATAGTACCTAGTATACTATGGTTTGTAGGAATCTCTCTCATTATTAAGTAAGGTGACTAGAAATGCATACCTATTCATTTCCCAATAAAACTAAGCTAATAATTTAAAATAAGATTAAAAATGTACAGTCTCTAAAATGTAATTTCTTAATAATAAATTATTTCTAAGTATAGCCGAAACCGGTTTGGCTCAATGGATAGAGCGTCGGCTTGGGGACTGAAGGGACCTGGGTTCGATTCCGGTCAAGGGCATGTACCTTGGTTGCGGGCATATCCCCATAGGGGGTGTGCAAGAGGCAGCTGATCGATGACTCTCTCTCATCGATGTTTCTAACTCTCTATCTCTCTCCCTCTCTGTATAAAATCAATAAAATATATTTAAAAAATTATTTCTAAGTATAAACTTTCCCAAATAACAGTCATAGGAAAAAGGGGAAGTCATTAATAAAGCAACCATCATTGAAAACTCCCATTCTCCCTTCTTTAAGGACATGATCCACCTCATGTGTTCATTGATAGGCAAAATTTTTATTGGTTCCTATTTATCACCACTAGGTGGCGAGCAAAGAAAGAGGCCCAGATAAGCCTTGGGAGATCCCAAGTAGTACTATAGGAAAAAATAGGTAATACAATGAATGAATGCATGGTGAATGCAAAGGGAGAACCAGAAACAGCTCAATTAACACTAATATATTAATGAAAACTCAGTATTAGGGGGGAAATGCCATATTATCTAAATGCCTAAATACCATATTACCATGTGGCTCTCCAATTTTACTGATTCAGAATGTTGGTGATGAGACCTAAGGATCTATATTTTAACAAGCACCTCTAGCATATATTAACATTCTAAGCATAAGCACACCTTAAGGAATGATGCTTAATGCTATGTTAAATTAGGTACAATTCCAGAAAAATGTTTCAAAAAGTTATCTATTCAGGAATATTAGTAATTAGGAATATTTTTTTAAATATATTTTATTGATTTTATACAGAGACGAAGGGAGAGAGATAGAGTTAGAAACATCGATGAGAGAGAGTCATCAATCAGCTGCCTCTTGCGCACCCCCTACTGGGGATATGCCCGCAACCAGAGTACATGCCCTTGACCGGAATCGAACCCGGGACCTTTCAGTCCCCAAGCCGACGCTCTATCCATTGAGCCAAACCGGTCCCGGCAGTAATTAGGAATATTAATTCGATAGGTCTTTGAAAACAGTTCAGTAGTTTTCATTTACAGTTAACCATCATAAGAACTCAGCAATTCCACTCCTAGCTATTACCCAAGAGACATAAAAATTTATCTTCACAAAGACTTTCACACAAACGTTCACAGTATCTTTATTCATAATAGCCAAAAGATGGACGGACTGTTGCACAAGAGTAAAAAATAATAGCTCTGTCCTGTGAAGTTCAGTTGGGTTGCACATGGTTCTCTCTCTCTCTCCTATCTAAAAAAATCAATAAACATTTTTAAAGAATAAACACTACTGCCCTATCCAGTTTGCTCAGTAGTTCAAGTGAGTAGTTAGAGCGTTGGCCCTTGGGACTGAAGGCTCGATTCCTGGTCCAAGTCAGGGCACATGTGGGAGGCAACCAATGGATGTATCTCTTACGTTGATGCTTCTGTCTCTCCCCCTCCCTTCCACTCTAAAATTAATGTAAAAGTTATCCTCAGCCAAAACCGGTTTGGCTCAGCGGTAGAGCGTAGGTCTGCGGACTGAAAGGTTCCAGGTTCGATTCCGGTCAAGGGCATGTGCCTTGGTTGCGGGCACATCCCCAGTAGGGAGTGTGCAGGAGGCAGCTGGTCGATGTTTCTCTCTCACTGATGTTTCTGGCGCGCGCGCTCGCGCTCTCTCTCTCTCTCTCTCTCTCTCTCTCTCTCTCTCTCTCTCTCCCTTCCTCTCTTCAAATCAATAAAATACATTAAAAAAAAAAAAGTTATCCTCAGGTGAGAATTAACCAAAAAAAAATAAAAACAATAAAAAAGTAATAAATTACTGATACTCAAAAGCAGCATGGATGAATTTCATATGGTTCAACTTAAATCAAGTTACAGAAAATACACAACTATAGACAGAAAGCAAATTAAGTGCTTACCAGAGTATGGGAGTGAAGTATGGAGCTTGTGTACAAAGGAACAGAAGAGAAAACTTGGTGGGGAAAAGGGTAGAATTAAATGTTCTGTGGTGATTCACAACTTAATACATTTATCAAAACTTACTAAACTGTATATTTCAGTAAGTGGTCTATGTTATATATAAATTATACCTCAATAAACTAATATTTTTAAATGCAGTTCTGAAGCATTAAAAAATATTGTGACTATGGTAATAAGTCTACTAAAAAGAACCTAAAAGCATTCATTTAAAACGTTCAATTTTTTTAAGCCCTAGTCATGGGAGGAAGAGCTAAATTTAGGAGTAGCAAAGTAAAAGGATACATTTCAAGCTCACTTCTATACTTAATAGTTGATCATAAAAAACTAACAAATCAAACATGCCTTAAAAGTGAAACAAACTCACACAGAAGACTGTTGCCAGATGGGTGGTGGTTTGGGGACTGGGTGATAAAGGGGTATGGAATTAAGAACAAATTGGCAATTACAAAATAGCCCTTGAAATGTAAAGTACAGCATAGAGAATAGTCAATGATCCTAAGTAATAAAAGATATAATAAAAGTTTAATATGTTAAATGTCTGATTGTCCATTCATCCAATCAAAGCATAGTATGCAAATAACATGCTTAAAGCCACTCAACCTTTGACTTGTACTGACTACCAGGGAGCAGACTATCAACCCATCAACCAGTCGCTGTGAAGTGCACTTACCACCATGGGGCAGATGTTTCGACCAACCAGTAGGTTAGCTTGCTGCTGAATTTCAGCTGATCAGGACTGAGCAAGATGGGCCAGACACACCCTGGAGCCCTCCCGGGGTCTCTCCCCAGCTGGCCTACCTCCCACCTGCCTCCCTCCCCAACCCAATCGTGCACTGGTGGGGTCCCTCAGCCTAACCTGCACCGTCTCGCAACTTGGGACCCCTTGGGGGATGTTGGAGAGCCGGTTTCGGCCCAATCCCACAGGCCAGGCCAGGCCGAGGGACCCCCCCAGGCCTCTGGTATTGTAATAACTATATATGGTGCCAGGTGGGTGGTGGTACTACTAAGCTTATTGGAAGGGGGGCTCACTTTGTAAGTTACTTAAATATCTAACTACTATACTGTACACTTAAAATACTGAATGTCAACTATAATAGAAAATTTTAGAAAAGTGAACCAATGAAAAAAATAACCTAGCTACATCAAAAAGGACATTAATTCTTGGTTTTAATATTGTACTTTACCTGTTTTTATAAATTGATTTGAGAGGAGAGAGACAAACAACAGACATTGATGTGAGAGAGAAACATCGGTTGCCTCCCACATGCACCCTGAATAGGAATCAAGCCAGCAACCTGGGTATGTGTCTGACCAGGAATCAGGATGATGCTCCATCCAACTGAGCCATACCAGCCAGGTCAAGAACATTAATTATTCTATTCCATTTATCAGTTTATTCTTCTGTTCATCTGATGTTTTTTATTCATTAGATTTTGATTCAATTGTTAATAGATATGTATTTGTTGTTCATATTTTTTCTTTACTTTTTTCTTCTTCTTAAAGATTATCCTTTAGCATTTCATATAATAGTAGTTTGGTGGTGATGAACTCCTTAGCTTTTTGTCTGTGAAGCTCTTTATATGATCTTCAATTCTAAATGATAGCTTTACTGGGTAATCTTGGTTGTAGGTCCTTGCTATTCATCACTTTGAGTATTTATTGCCACTCCCTTCTGGCCTGCATAGTTTCTATTGAGAAATCAGCTGACAGTTGTATGGGTATACTCCCTTGTAGGTAACTGTTTTTCTCTTGATGCTTTTAAGATTCTCTCTTTGGCTCTAGTCAGTTTGGCTCAGTGGGTAGAGCATTGGCCTGCAAACTGAAGGGTCCCAGGTTAGATTCCGGTCAAGGGCATATGCCCAGGTTGTGGGCTCAATCCCATGGGGGACTTGTAAGAGGCAGCCAATCCTTGATTCTCTCTCATCATGGATGTCTCTCCCTCTTCCTTCCTCTCTGAAATCAATAAAAATACATTTTTTAAAAAATAGATTCTGACTTTTAACCATGTTTTTTAATTATGATGTGTCTTAGTGTGGTCCTCTTTGGATTCCTCTTGTTTGGGGTTCTCTTTGCTTGTAGGTCTATTTCTTTCACCAGGCAGAAGTCTTCTGACATTATTTCTTCAAATAGGTTTTCAATATCTTGATCTCTCTCTCTCTCTCTCTCTCTCTCTCTCTCTTCTTCTGGCACACCCTTAATTTGGATGTTAGTACACTTGAAGTTGTCCCAGAGATTCCTTACACCGTCTTCCTATTTTTGGAATCCTTTTTAATTTTTGTCCTTCTGGTTGGATGTTTCTTACATCCTTGTATTTCAAATCATTGATTTGATTCTTGAGATCCTCTAGTCTACTGTTGAATCCCTGTATATTAATCTTTATTTCAGTCAGTGTATGCTTAATTTCTGACTGGTCCTTTTCCATTTTTTTTTGGCATTCTCACAAAGATCCTTGAAAGTCTCACTAAATTCCTCAGAGGCTTCTAGAAGATTCTTGAGTAACCTTTTAAATTGTGGTTTTGAACTATGTCCAATAGTTTGCTTTCTTCAATTTCTTTCACTTGTAACATGTTTCTTTGTCTCCGCATTTTGGCTGCTTCCTAAAAGCATATCAGGCTTTTATTATAT